GCAATCAAGTTAGAACTCAGAATTCAGAAACCACACAGCTTCATCGAAACTGAGCAACTGGCTCTTGAATGTTGACTGGGTAAACAATGAAATGAAGACAGAAATAAAGAAGTTCTTCAAAACCAACGAGAATGAAGACACAACATACCAGAATCTCTGGGACACATTTAAAGCAGTCTCTAGAGGAAAATATATAGCAATAAGTGCCCACATGAGAAGAGTGGAGAGATCCAAAATTGACACCCTATCGTCAAAGTTGAAAGAGCTGGAGGAACAAGATCAAAAAAACTCAAAACCTAGCAGAAGACAAGAAATAACTAAGATCAGAGCAGAACTGAAGGAGACAGAGACATGAAAAACCCTTCAAAAAATCAGTAAATCCAAGATCTGATTTTTTAAAAATATTTAAAAAATAGACAGACCACTAGCCAGATTGATAAAAAAGAAAAGAGAGAATAACCAAATAGATGCAATAAAAAATGATAAACGGGAAATCGCCACAGATTTCACAGAAATTCAAACCATCATCAGAGAATATTACAAACAACTCTATGCACATAAACTAGTAAACCTGGAAGAAATGGATAAATTCCTGGACACTTGTGTCCTCCCAAGCCTAAACCAGGAGGAAGCCAAAACTATGAATAGACCAATAACAAGGTCTGAAGTTGAGGCAGCAATTAAGAGCCTACCACACAAAAAAAGCCCAGGTCCAGATGGGTTCACAGCCGAATTCTACTAGACACACAAAGAGGAACTGTTACCATTCCTTCTGAAACTATTCCAAATAATCCAAAAAGAGAGAATCCTTCCCAAATCATTTTATGAGACCAACATCATCCTGATACCAAAACCCGGTAGAGACTCAACAAGAAAAGAAAACTTCAGGCCAATATCCATGATGAACATAGATGCAAAAATCTTCAATAAAATACTGGCAAGCGATTGCAACAGCACATCAAAAAGCTTATCCACCATGATCAAGTAGGATTCATCCCGGGCATGCAAGGCTGGTTCAACATAGAAAAGTCTATAAACATAATTCACCACATAAACAGAACCAAAAACAAAAACCACATGATTATCTCAATTGACGCAGAGAAGTTCTTTGACAAAATTCAACAGTCCTTTATGCTAAAAACTCTCAATAAACTCGGTATTGATGGAACATATCTCAAAATAATAAAAGCTATTTACGACAAACCAACAGCCAATATCATACTGAATGGGCAAAAACTGGAAGCATTCCCTTTAAAATCTGGCACTAAACAAGGATGCCCTCTCTCACCACTCGTATTCAATATAGTATTGGAAGTTCTAGCCAGAGCAATCAGGCAAGAAAAATAAATAAAGATATTCAAATAGGAAAGGAGAAAGCCAAATTGTCTCTATTTGCAGATGACATGATAGTATATCTAGAAGACTGCATCATCTCAGCCCAAACCCTTCTGAAACTGGTAACCAACTTCAGCAAAGTCTCAGGATACAAAAACAATGTGCAAAAATCACAAGCATTCCTATACAGCAATAGCAGACTTAAAGAGAGCCAAATCAAGAACGAACTGCCATTCACAATTGCTACAAAGAGAATAAAATACCTAGGATTACAACAAACAAGGAACGTAAAGGACCTCTTCAAGGAGAACTACAAACCACTGCTCAATGAAATAAGAGAAGACACAAACAGATGGAGAAACATCCCATGTTCATGGTTAGGAAGAATCAATATCGTGAAAATGGCCATACTGCCCAAAGTAATTTACAGACTCAATGCTATCCCCATCAAGCTACGAATGACCTTCTTCACAGAACTGGAAAAAACTACCTTAAACTTCATATGGAACCAAAAGAGAGCCCGCATAGCCAAGTCAATTCTAAGCAAAAAGAACACAGCAGGAGGCATCACCCTACCGGACTTCAAACTACACTACAAGCCTACAGTAATCAAAACAGCATGGTACTGGTACCAAAACAGAGATATAGACCAATGGAACAGAACGGAGGCATCGGAGGCAACACAACATATCTACTACCATACAATCTTTGATAAACCTGACAAAAACAAGCAATGGGGAAAGGATTCCCTGTTTAATAAATGGTGTTGGGAAAACTGGCTAGCCATGTGCAGAAAGCAAAAATTGGACCCCTTCCTGACACCTTAAACTAAAATTAACTCCAGATGGATTAAAGACTTAAACATAAGACCTGGCACCATAAAAATTCTAGAAGAAAATCTAGGCAAAACCATTCAGGACATAGGAGTAGGCAAGGACTTCATGACCAAAACACCAAAAGCATTGGCAACAAAAGCCAAAATAGACAAATAGGACCTAATCAAACTCCACAGCTTCTGCATGGCAAAAGAAACAGTCGTTAGAGTGAATTGGCAACCAACAGAATGGGAAAAAATTTTTGCAGTTTACCCATCTGACAAAGGGCTGATATCCAGAATTTACAAAGAACTCAAACAGATTTACAAGAAAAAAACAAACAAGCCCACTCAATAATGGGCAAAGGATATGAACAGACACTTTACAAAAGAAGACATACATGAGGCCAACAAACATATGAAAAAATTCTCATCATCCCTGGTCATTAGAGAAATGCAAATCAAAACTACATTGAGATACCATCTCATGCCAGTTAGAATGGCCGTCATTAAAAAATCTGGAGAGAACAGATGCTGGAGAGGATGTGGAGAAATATGAACACTTTTACACTGCTGGTGGGAGTGTCAATTAGTTCAACCATTGTGGAAGACAGTGTGGTGATTCCTCAAGGACCTAGAAATAGAAATTCCATTTGACCCAGCAATCCCACTACTGGGTATATATCCAAAGGATTATAAATCGTTCTACTATAAGGACACATGCACACAAATGTTCATTGCAGCACTGTTTACAATAGCAAAGACCTGGAACCAACCCAAATGCCCATCGATGATAGACTGGACTGGGAAAATGTGTCATATGTACACCATGGAATATTATGCAGCAATCAAAAACGATGAGTTTGTGTCCTTTGTAGGGACATGGATGAATCTGGAGAACATCACTCTCAGTAAACTGACACAATAACAGAAAATGAAATGCCGCATGTTCTCAGTCATAGGCGGGTGATGAACAATGAGAACACAGGGACACCGGGAGGGGAGCACTACACACTGGGGTCTATTGGGGGGAATAGGGGAGGGACAGTGGGGGGGGCAGCTGGGGAGGGATAGCATGGGGAGAAATGCCAGATGTGGGTGAAGGGGAGGAAGGCAGCAAATCACACTGCCACATGTGTACCTATGCAACTATCTTGCATGTTCTGCACATGTACCCCACAACCTAAAATGCAATAAAATAAAAATTAAAAAAATTTTAAAAAAAGAACTTCACACTATTTCAGAGTATCTGCATGCTCTTTAATTGAGCCATAAGCCCATGCTAGGACCATTTTGAATACTTGCCCTTACTCATGCATTAAAGAGGCCCAACCCTGATTTCTCAAAAGGTTAAACATAGACTGCCATATGACCCAGCAAGTCTACTCCTAGGTATATATTCAAAAGAAATGAAATCAGGGGCTCAGACAAACATTTGCACACCCATGTTCATAGCAACATCATTCACAATAAACAAAAGCTGGAAACAACCCAAGTGTCCATCAACAGATAAATGAACAACCAAAATGTGATATATACATCCAATGGAATATCAGCCAAAAAATGAAATTTTGATATATGCTATGACATGGATTGATCTTGAAAACATTACACTGAATGAAATAAGCCAGACACAATAGGAAAATATTGTGTGATTCCACTTATATGAGGTACCTAAAACAGACAAATTTATAGAGACAGAAAGTAAAACAAAGGTTACCAGAGGCTGGGAGGAGGTGGAGAAGAGAGAGTTATTGTTTAATGGGTTTAGTGGGAGTGTACGCTGAGGGCTATTAAAAAAAAAAGTTTCGTGTACAGATAGTGGTGATAGTTAAAAACATTGTGAAAGTGTTGAATGCCACTGAATTATATACTTATTAAAATGATAAACAGTAATGTTAGATATATTTTACCACAATAAAAAAATTACTTAGGGGGGGAAAAGTCAGTTTGATCTCAGCTCTGTAGTCAGAACTTGGAGGGCACTTGAGATTTGAGAGAGTCCCCATCCAGAGATTGGGAAATTGACAACCTCATTTCTATTCTAAACCTATCCCTATCCTGAGGAGCATGGGGATCTCAAGCAAAGACCTAGAGGTGAAGGCATCAGGAATACTGCCAGGAAGAGACAACTATGGGCACCAAGGAGACAACCTTCAATCTTTCAGGTCACCCAGAGCTTTCCCCATCCCACCTAGCACAGCTCCCATAGCAAAGGGATCAGTGGTCAGAAAGAAAAGAGAGAGAGAGGCCTGACCAAGCTAACTCTTCTGGAATTTATGTCAGCTTTTTTCTTTTACTTATTTTTCAAATGTCAAGAGAATCAATTTTGGAGCAAGCAGGCTACAAAAAGATGGCTTTGTTCTCTCAGCCCAGTGATTTATACGTAAAAGGAGAAAATAAAATTTTGGAAAGAATTTGCGTCTCCAAAATGTTTGAAGTTATTTAGAAGGTTAGGTGTTTTATACACACACATATACCCTACAAACATACATACATACATTTATGTACTGTGATTGCATAGCCTTTGTAACATGCTTAAATCAAAACTTCATTTTGAAAGAAAAATGAAGGACTTGCAGCCCCAGAACATAGTAGTTTTTCCCCAGGCATGTCGTGCTCTACTGTTGCCACTTGTAATTGTTTTAAAGTCAAGTCAGGCTTCCAATAATACCATTTTATATTCGTTATTTTTATTGTCAACTACTCCATAGCAAATTAGAAAACCACCAACACAAATGTTATTTTCTATAACAAGTCAATGTTTAAACTTCATCACCCAGACAGAAGTGCAGTGGCGCATCCTCCGCCTTCCAGGCTCAAGCGATTCTCCTGCCTCAGCCTCCCAAATAGCTGGGATTACAGGCGCCCACCACCACATTTGGCTAATTTATGTATTTTTGGTAGAGACGAGGTTTCACTATGTTGAACAAGCTAGTCTTGAACTCCTGACCTTAAATGATTCGCCTCCCAAAGTGTTGGAATTACAAGCATGCGCCACTGAGCACTCAGGGCCCCTTAACGGACCTTTTTTAAAGCTCACCTATCCTCAATGTTAGTGTATTTCATGTGTGGCCCAATACAATTCGTCTTCTTCCAGTGTGGTCCATGGAAGCCAAAAGACTGGACACCCTTGGTCGAGAACAATGCTTGGCACATGGTGGCTCTCAAAAGTCCATTCAATGCATGAGTAAACGGATGCGTCTAATGCAAAACCTTAAAACCGGCAAGTCAAAATCTCACCAAAAGGTGGAAAGAGGCATTCACAGTATTGGTTGAGTACGCAGTAAACAAGGTACTTGTACAACTATGGACACCAAAGAAACAGCTTGAGAATTATCAAACACCAATTTTGATTTTGATAAGGGCAGTCATAACCCAATATTGGAAGATTTTTAATGATTGCTTCTTCTTACCGTCTAACCACCCAGAGAAGATGAAGGGTTAACCAAAAAGCACCAAAGGCAACTACCTATTACCTTTGTTATTCCCACATAAAAAATTGAGCAGACTTATTGTTGAGGCAGAAGAGGCAGTCCCTCAATGAAGCAATACCCTGTTTGAATAATTCAGGATGGGGCATAGCCCAGCCCACACAGGGCTTTTGTGTGAGAGAACGTCCCACTCAGACGTCTGCATTTCCGGTATCTAGAGCCGGCTGCCCTTTTTAGAAACCCCACTGTTACAGTCGGGATAGAAAAGAAAAGGCCCAGTTTACCAGGAGGCTAAATAGATTGTTCCTTCTTAGGCAAATGTTCCACCTGCTTGGCCAATTAGCTTCCTTTCCCGAAAGACTCGTTCAACAGGTTTCCTTTCTCTCTTCTCTGCCTCCTGGGTTGGGGAAAGAGGCTGTCACTTCGCTTCGACCCTCCCCTTCCCTCCCTCCCGGCTCTTCCACACTGGGTCGGACCAATAGCGTCCGCTCCGACGTGTCCAGGTCGGCGGCCCGGGAGCTTGTGCGGCCCGGCCTGGATGCGTGGGGCGGAGGCTGCAGGGGAGGAGGGCACGGCGCGGCTCGCTTGGCTTGCGCCCCGAGACCTAGAAGCCGGGACCAGCCGGGAACAGCCGGGCGCGCGGAGGTCTGAAGGTGCCCTCCCGACACGGCCCCGATGACCGAAATACAGCAAGATGTGGAAGACACAAAGCCTGCGAAAGTGCTCGGGAAGAGGGAGAGCAAAGTTGGCTCAGCCCAGTGAGTACTCTCAGCTGGGACCCATCCAAGGCGGTGGGAGGCGCGCAGCCCAAACTTCTCTGCCTCGGGACGAGTTTCGGGTGGATGCGGATTTCTGGAACTTCTACACTGACAGTCTAGTGGCCCGAACTCTGTCTGTGGCGCCCGATCTCTCTCTCTCTTCTCCCTCTTCTCTCTCCTGTCCAGCTGTTCAGTTAAGGAGATGGTTTAGATTGACTGAAAAGTATACTGAGGATTTAAACAAATTCTCTTAATTCAAAACTCACTGGATGTTGGGAAAGTAATTTTGTAGAAAATAAGCCTAACCACATTGAAGCTCAGAGTCCCCCCCACTTTTTTTTTTTTTTTTTTTTGACATCCCAGGACATGAGATTACTCTTTTGTTTTAGATACAAGGGTATGTGTGTAAGATTTTTTTTTAACGTACTTTAAGTTCTGGGGTACATGTGCAGATCGTGCAGAATTGTTACATAGGTATACACATGCCATGGTGGTTTGCTGCATCCATCTCCTCTGCCCACCTACATTAGGTGTTTCTCCTAATGGTATCCCTCCCCAATCCCCCCACCCGCTGCTGTCCCTCTGCTAGCCCACCCACCCCCAACATGCCCCACTGTGTGGGTGTGTGACACAGCCCTTCATTTAGAATGATCATTTTCACAAATTTCATTCTAGTTCAGCAAATAATTGAGTATCTACTTGTTCAATAACGATGGACAGTACAAGGATAAATGTTATTTTGTATCTGCCCTTCTGGAACTTCAAGGGCAGAGCAGGGGTTGGGGAGGTGCAAATGAATATTACTGTACTTCAAGGGACATTGGTGACCATTGCCACATTAAACACACAGACAAGGTAGATAAAGAGTTTAGCCTATAACTGAGTGTTCTCTACTGTTAAGGTAGTTATCTATTTTGCAGTCTTTGGTAAAATTTGTTTGGGGGGGAGGGGTTGTTTTTTTCCTACAAAGTGATATTTTCTAAGGCTACTGAAGTCACTTCTAATTCAGTCTATGATTTTAGACACTAACCCTTCTGAACTCTAAAACTCCTGTTTTAGTGTGAGTAATTTAGAAAGGAGGGATATATATTATCATAAGGATATACTGATGTGATCATTTCACTTTGAAATCATTTCAGCTTGCCACATTTTTGTGCTTAGCAACCGGGCCTAACTTCTGCTTTGAACTTCATAACTTAGATTAATTATCACTAAGCTCGAAGTCTTGTTGAAGTCCGAGTGTCCCGATGAACGTTTCTTCTAAGAGGATTAGAATGACTTGCTCCTCACAATTTCCCTGCATCTGTAACTGCACCCACGTAGGCCTCATCACTTAGAGCCTTCGCCTCCTAAGTTATTGCAGCTGGCACTTAACTGAGAGTGCTTACTATGTGACAGGGATTGTACTCAACACTTTCAATGAATTCACACAAAGAATGAGGTAGGAGCTATTATTTTCATGTTACAGATAAAAGCATTGAAGCTCTGAGAAGCTAAGCAGCTAGGCAGTCACACAGTTAATAAAAGAGCAGCCAGGATTCAAGCCCAGGTCGCCTAACTTTACAGCATCAGCTTATAACCACTATTCTGTACCCCAGTTCCTCTGTTCCAGAATGTCTGATGGCCTCCCATGGCCTACTCTTAAAAATTAGCTCCTCTGCCAAGATTTTAAGATCCTTTATGATCTGGACCCATGCAAACCATTGCAACCTCACTTCCTAATACTAGTCAGCATGCACATCTTTTATAGCCAATCATACCAGCAGCTCTATACTTAAAGGGGTGATATGCAGCAGTCCCATTTTCATTGCAGGTTACTCACAATAGCCAAGATATGAACTCAGCCTAAGTGTACATCAACAGATGCATGGATAAGAAAATGTGCTATATATACACAATCTAAGTGTCTATCAATGGATAAAAACAATATGGCATATATACACGATACTATTCAGCCTTTAAAAAGAAAGATTCTGTCGTTTGTGACATGGATGAACGTAGAGGATATATGTTAAGCAAAATAAGCCAGGAATAGAAAAGCAAAGACTGCATGATCTCACTTAAGTGTGACATCTAAAAAAGTTGACTCAGGCCAGGCTCAGGCTCATGCCCTTAATCCTGACATTTTGGTAGGCCAAGGCTAGAGGATCACTTGAGCCCAGGAGTTCAAGACCAGCTTGGGCAAGAAAGTGAGACCTTGTCTCTACAGAAAATAAAGTTAAGCCTTGTGGTCTCAGCCTCTCAGAAGGCTGAGGTGGGAGAATTGCTTGAACCCAGGCAATTGAGGCTGCAGTGATCCATGTTTGTGCCACTGCACTCCAGCCTGGGCACAGAATGAGACCCTGTGTCAAAACTATAATTTAATTTAACTTAAAAGTAAATTTAAAAGTTGGAGTCATAGAAACACAGAGTAGAATGGTGGTTGCCAGGCACTGGAAGGTGGAAAGGGTTGGGGAGGAAGAGGGAATAGGGAGTTGATCAGAGGGTACAAAGTTTCAATTAGATGGAGGAATAAGTTTTGAGATCTATTGCACAACAAGATGATTAGTGAATACTAATTACTGTATATTTCAAAATAACTGAGAGTAAATTTCAAATGTCTCACCATAAAAAATGATAGGTAAGCAAGACGGTAGGTATGTTGCTTAATTTAATCATGCCACATGGTATACATATACTAAAACATTACCTTGTACCCCATAAATGTATACAATTGTGATTTGTCAATTAAAAATAATATTAATTTTTAAATAATTTAAAAATATTTTTCTTATAAATCTCAAAGAAAAAGTGATATGCAGGAGGAACAAGGAACCGGTATGCCAAACATAGGAACAAATGAATCCCCTGTGTCTTACTTTTCTTTACTGCTATTCCTCACCCCTCTCTCCTCTCTCTTCATATACTTCTAGAAATCAACTCAAGTTTTCCTTCATGTGAGGCCTTCCCTCATTACTAACCACACTCATTTCTTCTTTACCAGTGCTCACCTTGTGCCAATGTGGCTTCTGCCTCATAGAATTTAGCTGCTGTTACTGTGATGATTAATTAACAATTAATGTTTATTGACAGTTTAGTTTGTACAAAGTACTGTCTTAAGTTGTTAACATATATTAATTTACTTAGTAATCCAGTTGTATTAGTTATCTTTCCTCTAAATAGGTTGCGAACTCGGATTACATTTTTCCTTATTGAATTTCGCAGAGGGCCCAACAAACAGTCACTTTCAATAACCATCTGTTGGTGAGCTGGGGAGGCTAAGACCCCAGACCTACCTATTAAGATATATACCTTAATATGCTTGTAGCTGACATTCAGCTTGACTATGTCAGGGAAAACTCTACCTTTATTAAATTTTTCTTAATCAAATTGCCTATCAGTAGCAGTTAGAATTTCTAGGTATATTTACTTGCCCAAGAGCTGTGGCTAATTTGTTCATCTTTGTGTTAGAAGGTGAAGCTGATGACGCACTCATCACCAAAGTGCGTATTTGATTTAAAAACACAATGTACCCCTTTCTGACCAAGAATAAGTACTTTAGCTGTGTATTTCCTTTGAGATCCTAATTTTCTCTACTTTTATTGCCTTTTTCATTCTGAATTTTATGTTCCCAGTACTTGGACGGTCATAGCATAACCTGCCTTTTTTTGACACACATTTTTATAAAACACATCTTTATTTCTTAAAGTTTCTGGATCTCATTTAGTTATGTCCAGGTTACTTTTAATGAATTTCAACAAGTATCCAAAATGAATACTGATATATTCTGAGCAAAAGTTACCTTGATTCCTATTTCAAATGATGAATTAAATTACATGTAATGTCATTCCAATTGCAATTTGAATTTTTAACATTTTAATAACTTGAGGTGTAAGAATTTTAGAAATTTGTTCAACTCCATATGTATGTAGAAAAAGGATAGATGTGGGCAACAAGAACATTTACCTTAAAAGGAAGCTCTCTGGTATTATCAATAAATGTTAGTTATTTTTAGTATATATTTTTACTTAAAATAGTGAATTCAAGTAAAAATAAATGACCTGCAGTGGCAACATCTCTCATCCAAACTCTCCGTCTTTGTGCATGACATGTTGGAGTATTTGACAAACAGAATAAAAGTTAAAGTTGGAAACTGATCTTGAATTAGAAGCAAGATAAATAAAGGCAAAGAATTGTTGGACCTAACTCAGTTTCTTAGCACTTACTTAGTTCTAAACTTTGAAAGTTTCCATTTAGCAAAAGAAGATTATCTCTCTATCTCTGTGTATGTGCATATAATTTTTTTTTTCTTAATTTTTAGGCCATCAGATCTGACAGGCTGGGCGTGGTAGGTTACACCTATAATCCCGGCACTTTGGGAGGCTGAGGCGGGTGGATCACTTGAGGCCAAAATTCGAGACCAGCCTAGCCAACATAGTGAAACCCTATCTCTACTAAAAATACAAAAATGAGCCAGGTGTGATGGCTCACACCTATAATCCCAACTACCAGGGAGGCTGAGGTGAGAGAATAGCTTGAACCTGGGAGGCAGAGGTTGTTGCAGTGAGCCAAGATTGTGGATCGTGTCACTGCACTCCAGCCTGGGCAACATAGCAAGATCCAATTTACTTTTCATTATAAACTTTGGGGTAGGAAAGAATGACATATAACATATTTTAACATATATATTCACCCACTAATCCACTAAATATAGGCCTTCAATGTATGAAGACTCATATTTTAAAATATACATAACATATTGTATTTATAAATTATATTAAAGTGTAACACCCAATGGAGGAGTTTAAAAAATGGAGAAAATAAACAGTGTGTTCTGGTTTGAAAGGTTTTGAAAAAATATATAGTGAACCACATTAGCTCTGTGACTGGAGGTTAATATCATAGAAAATTGCTGATTTATCTAGGCAGTAAATGAAGTGGTTAAAAATGCAGGCTCTAGGAAACCAGTATTTGAATTCTGGCTTTCCTATCTCCTACAGGTGTGACTCTGGCAAGTTACTCAGCACCTCTAAGTCTCTGTTTCATCATCTGTAATGGGGAGTACTTAAATCTGCTGTTTGATACAGGCCTGCTTTGAAGTTTAAATAGGAGACATAAGAGCAGACACTTTTCAAAAGAAGATATACATAGAGCCGACAATCATGAAAAAGTAGCTGAACATCACTGATCATTAGAAATGCAAATCAAACTACAATGAGATTCCATCTCACACCAATCAGATGGCTATTACTAAAAGTCAAAAAAATAACAGATGCTGACAAGGTTGCAGAGAAAAAGGAATGCTCATACCCTGTTTCTGGGAATGTAAATTAGTTCAACCATTGTGGAAGACAGTGTGGCAATTGCTCAAAGACCGAAAGATAGAAATACCAGTCAACCCAGCAATCCTCTTACTGGGTATATACCCAGAAGAATATAAATTTTTCTTTTATAAAGACACATGCACATGTATGTTCATTGCAGCACTGTTTACAATAGCAAAGACATGGAATCAACCCAAATGCCCACCAATGGTAGACTGGATAAAGAAAATATGGTACATGGCCAGGCGCAGTGATTCATGCCTGTAATCCCAGCACTTTGGGAGGTGGAGTCAGGCAGATCACAATGTCAGGAATTTGAGACCAGCCTGGCCAATATGGTGAAGCCCTGTCTCTACTAAAAATACCAAAGTTAGCCAGGCACGGTGGCAGGCACCTGTAGTCTCAGCTACTTGGGAGGCTGAGGCAAGGGAATTGCTTGAACCTGGGAGACGGAGGTTGCTGTGAGCTGAGATCCCTCCCACTGCACTCCAGCCTGGACCACAGAATGAGACTCTATCTCAAAAACAAAAACAAACAAAATACATATATATATGAAAAATGTGGTACATATACACCATGGAATACTATGCAACCATAAAAAAAGATCATGTCCTTTGCAGGGACATGAATGGAGCAGGAAGCCATTATCTTTAGCAAACTAACCCAGGAACAGAAAACCAAATACTGCATGTTCTCACTTAAGTGGGAGCTAAATGATGAGAACTCACAGACACAGAAGGGAACCCCACGCACTGGGACCTATTAGAGGATGGAAGGTGGGTGGAGGGGCAGGATTAGGAAAAATAACTAATGGGTACTAGGTTTAACAACTGAGTGACAAAATAATCTGTATAACAAACTCCCATGACACAAGTTTACCTATATGACAAACCTGCACATGTATCCCTGAACTTAAAAATCAATGTTTAAGAAAAAAATAAAGACATGTCCTTCACCTAGTGCCTGCATACTATCAGCTCTCCATAAACTAGCTGTATTAGTCCTCACTGTTGAGCATCTGGGACGTGCTATGGGTGGAGTTGGGAGGATGACCTAAAATGTAATTAAACTAAATAGTCAAACTTCAAAGCGGTCACATGCTTACAGCATCCTGCAACAATATTCTATAAAGTGACCCTGAGGACTCTTGTGACCGCACCTGAGCATTTCCTTGACTCTAACTAGGTGTGTTGGTTTTTACTTGACGCTAACAGGATCTCATGCTGTGAGTTTTTGTGACCTCCCAGCTAATTTAAATATTGCTTACTAATCTGGTGTTATGCATCTGTTGTCCAATACTTCTATCCATGGTCCACTGATTCCACTTTCTGCCTCCTGGCACTGAGCTTTTCTCTCCTGGACCCTCAGCTTTAAACTGCAGTTTTTTTCCATTTGCTAAACTTCAACAGAACTGTCGTTTAGCACCTTCCTAATTTTTTAAATGCTCAGCTTTAGGTACTTTGCACATTTTCAAATGTAATAAGGCAAAGATCCTTGAGAGAGATTCCTCCTCAGCCATTTTAATGACTGTTTCTTTATACTTAAAGAGGAGTGTTTTATCCAAAGTTTCATTAGTTAACCTGAGAAGAGAATTAGAACCAACTTAAACTACATTTCCTAAAGTAGACTAATTTACATTCCCTAAGATACACATATGTAGCCCCCATTGGTCACTCCACATGTGTCAAAAATTTCTGTATTTATAATGGACATGATGTCCCAAGATGCGTATTATTTGGAACAAATTTATAAAATTTACCCATTTCCGGATATAATTCCATGACTCTTAGTAATATTGCCAAGTGATGCATCATCACCATAATCCAGTTTAAGAACATTTTCATCCCTCCAGTGAGATGCCTCAGGTACATTTATTCTTAACCCTTGTTCCAGCTCCCAACCCCAGCTCTAGGCACTCACTATCTACTACTTATCTCTAGAAATCTGCCTTTTCTGGGCATTTCATAGGAATGGAATCATCCGATATGTAATCTCTTATATCTGCCTTCTTTTATTTCACATCATGTTTTGAGGTTCATTCGCAAAGTAGTATGTGCCAGTAATTCATTCCTTTTCATTGCTGAATAATATTCTATTGCGTGGATATATCACATTTTGCCTATTTATCTGCTGAACATTTAGATTGTCTCTGCTTTTGACTATTTCGAATAATGTTGTTATGAATATTTGCATGTAAGTCTTTGTGTGAACATACGCTTTCATTTCTCTTGAGTATATACCTAGAAGTGAAAGTGACGGATCACAGGATAATTCTATATTTAACTTTTTGAGGGACTGGCAAACTGTTTTCCAAAGTAGCTACAGCATTTTATATTCCTACCAGCAATGTAGGGCCCATGTGGTAGACTTAAGAGAAGAGGCTTCATGTAGTAAGATAAACAAGACTGTAAGCATCTTAAAGATAGGTCAGTGCCAAATACTTTGTAACAATAAACATCTGTTGAATGTTGACTAAGTGACATTCATACTTAAGATTTTGAAAACTTCTCAAACTACAACATCAAAGATAACTCAGGCTGTGACACTTTGGTACCTTTTTTTTTACAATCTCTTAAAATTTTGCATATAATACTGTTTTTTTAAGTGACAGTTGGAACATAATCTTCTCAAATGTGATGACATTTTTAAAGCAGTACATGTATAACGTCAAAAATTAAAACAATATAGATACACACAAAATGAAAAATGGAGACCTTTGTCCTGTCTCCTACCTTATAGTTCCTTGTCTCAAAGATAACACTTCCCAAGGTTTCGGTCTTTTTTCTTATGCATTGTCTTTTTAAGGCCAGAATCAGGTTTTTTTTGTTGATTTGTTTTCTTTTCTTTAGACTATCCAACTTCAAGTATACCTATAAATGTGTTGAACTTGGTGACATGAAGTACCTCGTGAGATCGTTATGATTAAGTATGATCACAGAATATCTGCACACCATAGGAGAGCTCAATAAATGGCAGACATTACTCTCAAATATTATTTTTTACAAGCTTCTTTGCAGAATAGTTATCTACTCATAAAATGAATTCATAGTTTAAGCAATAGTAAAGAAATCCATTAGAATACAGTCTTATGGTGATGACCTTGGCAAGGTAGACCCACAGTGTTAAACAGAGGAATTGTGACTGAACCATCCTATCAATTTATTTTCTTAATCTCTCCTGTTCCTCTCTTCTAGTCTTGATGATCCTAGACAGACCCCCTAATTCGATGAAGTAGTGATACTGGGCCACCTTCTGAACAATTAACTAGAGGGCACAATGACAATGAGACCCGTTTTAAAAGGGAAGAGACCAAGGTGAGAGAAATGGAAATGTGAAATTGGAGAAAATGAGTAAAGAGATGAGGAGAAATAGAAAAGAGTTAGAAAAAGAGAGGGGGAAATAATACTGATTTATGTCAAAAAGAGAAAAATATTGGCTAATTTACCATTAACCTACATAATCTTCCTCTTCTGCCCTGGAAGATATTCCTTCTCTTCTCTCTCTGCTATTCCATGTCTTGTCTCAGGCAATGAGATGGGGTGTTGACATGCCTCTTCTTCCCTCCTGGAGATTTTTGTTCTGTTTTGTCTTTCGAGACAGGGTCTCATTCTGTCACCCAAGCTGAAATACAGTGGCATGATCACAAGCTCACTGCAGTCTCAACCTCTCTGGGCTCAAATCAAGAGATTTTCTTAATCTCTCCAGGAGGTCCTCCCACCTCAGCCTCTGGAGTAGCTGGGACTACAGCCATGCACCACCATGTCTGGCTATTTTTCTTATTTTTTGTAGAGACAGGCTATCACCATGTTACCCAGACTGCTGTTGAACTGGATTCAAGAGATTTGCCCACCTCAGCCTCCCAAAGTGCTGGGATTACAGGCATAAGCCACCATGCCCAGTTCTAGTGGAGATGTTGACCTGTATATACATGTTGGTGTTTTCTTAAAGTCCATATACATCAGATATATGATTATATCCATATTTGTTGTCTTTCACATTATGCTCAGCTTGTGCAGTGAGTTAAAAACTAGGAAGAACCTCAGAAATACAGTATGCATAATTTTTGTGTCATAATAATTAAGGATTATCTGAAAACAGTTATTTTGTGTTCCTACAAATGATTCTGAAACCCTTAGTATGTATTGCTGTAAAATGTGTATTGAGAGTTGAATTGCTATATATTGATAGCGATGAAAAACTACAAATTCATCATTACAACTTTTATTATCACTACATTGTTTCTATAATTCATTAGAAAACAACACCTCAGTTGATCTATTTAATCCATAAATATTATGCAGGATGCTCTGTATAATATACACTATGGTCCTTGAAGAGCCTACATTTATTGTTAAGAATATATTTTTTTCCTCTCGCTCTCCCTTCCTCCCTTAATAACAAAGTTCCTTAGTATATAAAGTTGGACTTGTTTTGATGTGAAGTTGGTAGATTTCTTAGGTGTGTTCTTGATTTGATTAGGATCTTTTCTGAAAATTTTACAAAGAATCACAGCACCTTTTCTCAAATTCTAAAATCACAAACTATCAGAATAATAAATGGCATATGAGCTAAGAAAGAAGCAGTATTTGACAGCTAATGATGACCAGAGAGATTTGATTGAATATTCAACTGACATTTACTAAGTACTTTTATGCCATAGGTACCATGCTAAATGTCTTGAATATCATCAGGATGAAACATGTAAAGCCTTTGCATAAGGAAAATGGAATCGAGAGGAAAGGAATATTTTGAGATTCCATGTTCTTTCAAAGAAGAAACTAGGTAGCTCCAGAAAATATATCAAAGCCAAGACAAGATGAAGTAATATCATTGCTATGTATTAGACACTATTCAAAATGCTTTTACAGATATGCATATAATAAGGTAGGTACTGTTTTCATCATATTTTATATATAGGAGAGACACAGTGATTTGCCCAAGTCATAACAGCTGTTAAAATGTTGAAGCCAAAATAGAAAGGCAGGCAGTCTAAACTGAACCAGCCTCCTAAAGCCATTAAGTATACAACCTCACTAGATTTAGGAAGAGTAAAGATACAAAAGACAAAGTACCTCCTATTAAAGTCTATGCATCCCACAGAGTTCTCTTAATTTTTGTATGTGTGTTTTCTAATCATAAAACAAAGGCTGTGCCCCAACCTAGCAGTAGAGAAGTTCTTCTTTATTATTATTTATTTTTAGTTGTTGTTGAAGCTCTACATCGTAATTGGCACAGCAGTCCTTCATGGATTCCAATTTTTAAAAACCAGAGATGGGTTCTTCTTTACATAAGTACAGAGTGTTTCTATAAAGTGAAGTGACTGATGTGTTTTCAAAGCATGTGAATGTCGTGTCTTTAAAAGTAGTCACCAAAGGAACCCACGAACTTTTCCAACAATGCTGCAATTGCACAAAATCTTTTTGAAATTCTTCTTGCAGTGTTACTTTCAAAGCTTGGAGCCAATTCTTTGAATAGTCATAAGGTTGGCAAACCTTCTTCTTTTGAGAGTGAATTCAGGTTTTAAAAAACAACCTGAAGTTACTTGAAGCCAAATTTGGTGAATAAGAATAGTTTAAATATCTGTAAATCACTCTGTGGATAAGATCTTTTTTTGTATCAAAAACATGATGTGACTATAAAATAATAAGACTGGGTTTCTGGCAGTACTTGATAAATCAATTTCTATACTTCCAAACCTACGTTTATTACTTTGTAAACTTATTATGAAATAGTAAAATTTAATAGTTATTATTCTGTCCTAAATTCATTTTTCAGTGTTTATAATATGCTCAGGTAGGTGTTGGCATGTCATAAGAATTAAAAATTATTTTGAGGATGCAAATGTAACATACAGTAAGTCTCCTTCGTAAATAGTACAGCCTATGCAGCCTAGACAGCATAGCAAGACCCTATCTCTACAAAAGATCAAGAAATTAGCCAGGCATGGTGGCACACGCCTGTAGTCCCAGCTACTCAGGAGGCTGAGGTGTGAGAATTGCTTGAGCCTGGGAGGTCGAGGCTGCAGTGAGACATGATCACACCACTGCACTCCAGCCTGGGCAACAAAGTGAGACCCTGTCTCTCAAAAAATAGAGAAAGTATAACCTATGTTTTATAGAAAACAGAATTTTATTAAAATGTCCACAAGCTTAGGCAGTGAAGGTTCAGCTATCACAATCTTCTTATACTAGCTTTTACTCTATTGCACATTATGGTAATTTGTGTAGAAATCATACCTTTTCAGACCCTCTCCCCATATTCCAAATGACCTTTCTTTCACTGTCTACAAGATACTACTCTTGACTTTCCCATATGATAATTATCGATTATTAGCATTAAACTTTCCATTTTTGTCTGGCACCTGATAGTTAACCTCTGATAGCTGATTGGTCTGCTCCCTGAGAAGTTCCTGAACATATCTGAAATAAGGACAAGCATGTTTTCCTGTTCTTGCCTTTCAGTCAGAATGGACTCATTAGCACAGCATTGTTACACAACCATTGTCTCTAAGATCCGATTTTAACACTGTATTGTTCAGTAACTTTATGTGCTATATCTTCAATCTTCTCTAATCCAAAGTAATTCAGCAAGCACTTACCTAATGCTTACTCTGTGCAGGGAATACAAGGCTAAATGAGGTGTGTGTGATGCCCTTTAAGAGCACCCAGTCTGGAGAGAGGTGAGCAGGATCCAGACCCACATAAATAATATCATGTAATAAGAATTCCACAGGAATCAAATGCTGTGAGGACATTTGATAAGGCAATTTGTGTTTCATGGGGTGAGATAAGATGTGCTGTTTGAAGTGAAGTTGATGGACAAGGAAGAATGTGCCTTTAACTGAAGGGAGAAAATTACTTCAGGCAGACGGAAGAACAAGGATAGGATACCTGAAAGTTCAAATGCATGTTTTCGATGGGCACTTAGGGTCTCCTGTAGTGTAGCAGGCTGGGGCTGGGAGGACTTGCAGGGACAGCAGAAGGGGGAAGGACTCAGAGGCCCCTCTTGCTTTGCCCTCTTCCCTTCCTTTCCGGTTTTGGCTCTACTACCGACTCTTTGTAACTTTAGGGAAGTCATTCTCCTCTTTGGGCTTCGGTTTCCTCCTCTGTAAAGAGAGAGGGCTGAATGACCTGATTTGTTAGATCCCTTCCAACCTGAAGTGCCTTTGAAGAAACTGCCCTACTTCTCTGCACACTTCTGTAGTTTTTATGTAAAGAATTCTACCAGACCGAACAACTCAAGGAAAGCCTTTTTAATATGAACAGAATCCTTGCTTCTTATGTGGTTTGCCCTCTTTATTATTTTTTTATTTCTTTTCCTAGGTAAGCATATACCTGTTTAAGGCAAGATTACCACTGGAACATACCTAAACTGTCCTCTTGCACGACTATAGATACATATCAGCATTCACATTGCATCAGACAACCCCGCTTTGCCCCAATGCCTTCTGGATTGGTCATAGCAGAGATGCCTAATGGGGTAACATAATTTCAACCATAACACAAATGGGGACCAGATTCATTATCAGTAGAGGTGCAAGCTTCTCTGATATACTTAATGTCTGAAAATAATCACAGCTTGTTCTTAAATAGAGAATACAATTTTAGGTTAAAAAGCCCTTTTTCTCAGAAATGAAACTGGGGAATACCTAAGAGACACTAGTTTCCCACTTCAACTTAATAATTATACTAGCATTTTAATTCATATTCATTTAAGTACTTATATTTACACAATAAATAAATTTAATGCACACTTTTTGAGGACCTACTATTTTTACACATTATACTGTGTTATAGGATATTAGGATATATTAGGCATGGACTGTGCCCCCTCAAACATTAGGTGCAGTACAGTGACTCACACCTGTAATCCCAGCACTTTGGGAGGCCAAGATGGGAGGATCACTTGAGGCCAGGAGTTTGAGGCCAGCCTGGGCAACATAGCAAGACCCTGCCTCTACCACAAACAACATAGAAATTACATGGGTGCAATGGTACAAGCCTATAGTCCCAGCTACCTGGAAGGCTGAGGTGTGAGGATTGCTTGAGCCCAGGAGTTGAAAGCTGTAGTGAGCTCTGATCATGCCACTGCACTTCAGCCTGAGGACCCTGTCTCTTAATTTAGAAAAAAAAAAAAAAAGGATTGTTAGGTCAGGTTCACTATAATTTGAGCAATGTGTTACTGTGACATTAACTATGAATTTCAATCTACTGTGCTATGTAAAGGTATTTTTAAGAAAACAGTGGGGAAGAGACTAGTCCAGCATGGGGACTGAATGGAGTCCTCTTGGAAGAAATGATATCTGAGAGAAGTT